ATTTGCCCACGGCTGATTTAGCCTCTGTGCTTCACAACAGTAAATGGCAAAAATCATGTAACTAAGGAAGAAGGTAAATTCCCCCCAAAGAAACACCCCCCCAAAACAGAACCCAGCACAAAAGGAAGGCCCTAACGTGATCTGCGTGATTCAGCACAATTGCTGTGCACTGTCAGTCTTTCTGTATGGATTCTTAGAACAATAAAGCCAATTATTACTATTGTTACGAACATTACACCAGTTAGTATTGGGCATCACTCAGTACATGTTGTGCTGACTTCCAATTGGGGAAGGCCACACTGAACGTTCTGGCCTCAGCAAAGGTTATGACCCAAGAAACAAGGTGAAATTATTTAATTGTATTTCTAATGAGGTGAAGGCAGAGCAAAAGGATCTGATATTCTTTGGGATAAATATATTGGTTTTATGTTGACTGTCCCGGATGTCCAACTCCGATTGCTGTTGAAGCATTCATTAGGTCTGTAAGATAGAACTGACGTTTTGCTTCGGCAGGTATCTAATGGGTTCTCAGCTGGGTTAGCTTGTACAACATGGTGTTTGAAAGCGATGGTGCCTACGTGGGGATCTGAACATCATGGCTAACACGGGAGCCATGGGATGCAACAGTGGCTGCTGAGGTCTGTTATTTTGTTCTGCTCAGGATTATGACAGCCATTTTTATCTAAATGAAAATTCAGTCTTCAGAATCACCACATGTAAACTTAGAAGCTATAGCACCTAAAGCAATAAACTGGGGCAAATTCTTTGCATTAAAGGAAAAAATAAAGAACATCGACTCAGTAATAGTAAATGAGCAAGAACCTAGAATCACTTTTTTAAAAGAATGTATTTTCTATATACCCGGTTAGATATTATAAGAATAAATAAGTATGTTGCTTTCTCATGGGGTCTAAGTACCATTTACATTTTTGGAAACAAGTTAACTCTACTCTTGAAAATTAAAAAGAAAATAATTATTCTAAACCCCAACCTAAAATCCATTAGTTGTGGGAGATAGAAATTTTCCTTTCTTTTAAAATCTTAGTCTTTGTTTTTCATCACCTTTTAAAAATAAACACAAGCCCATATATTTTAAAAAATAATAATAAATAAATAAAAATAAACACAAAATGGCATCTTTCTATTCATGGCATTTTAGTAATCCTAAAATATATTCTTATAAACGACACACAAAATATTTTAAGTCGGCTCTTTAGAACAGTGGTGGGCAAACTTTTTGACTCGAGGGCCACAATAGGTTCTTAAACTGGACATGAGGGCCGGAACAAAAGCATGGATGGAGTGTTTGTGTGAACTAATATAAATTCAAAGTAAACATCATTACATAAAAGGGTACGGTCTTTATTTTTTTTAGTTTTATTCATTTCAAACGGGCCGGATCCGGCCCGCGGGCCGTAGTTTGCCCACGGCTGCTTTAGAGCCAAAGGCAAGCCGACCCCCCTCACCTCGGGCATGTCACTGGCCTGTGAACAAGGGTAGGCGCGTCAGAGATCAGAGCGAGCGTGGTTTTGAGTTGCCTACCTGCTGGCCGTCTTCACAGAGCAGTTTTTCTTGTGTCCTCTCTCGGCTCGGCTGTCTCTCAGAAGCTGATGCTGTCCAAAGAGTTAAGACAAAGTTGCAGACACAGAAACGCGTTCATTGTATTGTTTTGTGCGCGGAAAAGTGTTCTCATTCACAGGGAACTCTTCCTTCACTTGCATCACTTTTTTTTCCCTACTGACTTCTCATGAACAGAGACTACTGCTGAGGCTGAAGATGCCACCAAGACCCTTGCGGAAATGTCCCTCAGAGCTGGCGATCGGGGGCTTCCCTCAGGGCCCCGAGCTGGAGGTCTAGGACTCAGTTCCAGCCCCGTTCTTGGTTGCGGTCCTGGTGGGAGTCGGGGAACCTCTGTCCACAGCCTTCACCGCTGCACCAACTCGGACCTATCTGAGGCTTTGCCACCTAGGCCGACGTAAATGACATATCATCTTCTCTGTATTTACTGGCCTAACAAGGAAATACACTGAACACATTGTGTTTTCAAAGAAATTATTTGCTTTCGAATAGATAACTAGAAGGAATGTATACTTGATTGCCATCTCAGAATGCCTCACCGTCCACTACCCTCTCACATTTACTTTAACTATTTGAAAAGAAGCAAAAAAGTCAATCCTCTTTACTGTGGGTTCACTCAGAAAACGATGATACAGCTAAAGAGAAGCTGTTCCCTGTTAGAGACCAACAGCAACAAAAAGGGAAATCTTAGGAGGAATAGCACAGGGCAGAGCGGGGTTCTCATGCCTACTGTGCCTGTCACACGTCTCTGAGTGGCAGTCACAGGCCTACCACTTACAGGCCGTGTCGACCTCAGGCAGAGGACTTCACCTCTCTGAGTCCCAGTCTCCATCTATAAAACGGAGATAACAGTAATATCTACCTGGAAGGCTGCTCTGTTAAATAAACCACGTGAGACCCGTAGCTCTATGACCATTAGACATGCTGAGAAAATGGTTCAAACACGACAATTACGATGATCATTAATGAGCCTGCTTATCAGTGGGCATTGTCTGACCAGCATCAATGACTTTTAGTGAAAGAACTGCTTTGAACTGTCCCACGGCATCATTCAGAACCAGTTAGTAGCAGCATTTGGTCGTCTTGGAGAAGGTATGGACCTTAATTAGATCACCAAGAATACAGTTAGATCTTTCCTTCTTTCAGGACTGCCTTCACTAAGTAAATACATATTAAATTTCTCTTAAATATCGACTTCTTCCAGCCCACCACCACCAGCCTGGTCCAGGCACCATTTCCTCTCCCTGGTAACAGCCTCCCAAGCGCCTCCCTGCCCCCAACTCATCCATTCTCCCCCTGCAGCCAGGAATTCTAAACTGAGGTCTGATTCCGCAGTCTCCCCAGATAAGCCCCACATTCTTGTACAAGGCATTCGCGACCCTTCACCATTCAATTACATTCCTAGACTCGTCATTTATTACACTTCCTCCTCCCCACCACCTCACCTCTTTACTTCTACAATACATATCCCAGCCACACTGAACATTTTAGTTTGGGGAGTGGGTCACGTTCTTGCTCCCTTTCGCCCTTTGCTTCCGTTATTCGATCTGCCTGCATAGCCAAGGTCCAGCAACGTGTCTGGATTCTTTTTATTGCTCAATATATATTTGTTGAATGAATAAATAAATGAGATAAGGAAGTAGGGAGGGAGATCCTGTATCTGATATGTAGCTGAAGCCGCATCTCATCATTTACTACTTAGAGAAAAGAGCAACCATTTATCTTAAGTCCATTAATCTGAAAGTGTTTCCATTTCGAAACACTTCGTACCATGGAAACGAATTTGTTTCTGAAAGTTAAAAAAAAAAGTTAATTACTTTGGCATTTCTAAGTCTAGTGTCTTTTAAAAAACATATATATGTGTATATACAAACCAACATTTGTGACACAGATAGCTAGAGGTGGCATGATGAAATCTCTCCCTCCACCTTAAATTAATGGTAGTAGTTAACTTTCCTAATTTTAAGATAAAAGACAGATATATGAACTCTATACTTGAGGTTTGTGTTAAATCAGTTAAACAAAGAACTCAAAATCCCTAACACAATATTCTGAGAGAAGAAGAGAATTCTATAGTTTAGTTTTTAAAAAATGTGACTACAGTGACCAAAATAAATATTGTGTTTTGGCCAATATTGGGTTGGCTAGTGCTCAGAGGGACCCTCTTGGGAACTTAAATGAAACAGCACCTCTATGAACTCCAACATCAGGGCTCCTTCTATTAGATTCATATGGGGATTTCTTTCCTTCCTCACATCTTTGGCTTCCACGGGCTTTACTTATAAAAAGGGACAAATATTGGAATTATTTAATACAATGCACCTGTACTAGGCATCCATCACAAAACTCTCACTTTATCACTAAAATTATAAATCTGGGTGTAACTGCAAATTTACAATCAAACTCGGGGAAAAAAGATAGAATTGGATCTTTGGGTCATGAATTTAACAAATTAAGATGGGAACTTATATCTTTTAAGGGGCAACGGTGAAAAAATTAACCCAGAGTATTGCCAGCATGTAAAAAAAGCATATATTTGTATCTGAAAAAGCCCCAGCAGGTGTATGCCACGCCCCATAGAATGAAAACGGGGGTGGGTGGGTCAGGTCAGGAGTTCAGGGTCAGAGACAAGAATCCTTGAGCTCTGCTCTGGTAAGCAAGCTTAGGCAGGCGTTCGGCCTGGAGAAACGTGTCCTTTTGACTGGTAATTGTCTTGTTTCCTTGAACTCCTATCCGTGTCACAAGTGAGGTCCCTTTTCAGGTTCTGACTCAACAGTGTCAACTCTGATTACGAACAGAATTTCTGAATATGGTGCGAAGTGCTCCTTACCTTCCAACTTTCAGATTGCTGGACTTAGGCCAAACGGAGACACAAGCCCCTTATTAGTGACCTGCAGGTGTATATTGAAAAAGGACTCACATAAGAATTACATTAAAATTCATAAGCACAGAGCCTAGTACAATGTGAGGTTCACAAAAGGGATACAATTTTATTTACTTATTTTTTTAAATATTTTTATTGATTTCAGAGGAAGGAAGAGGGAGAGAGATAGAAACGAAACATCAGTGATAAGAAAGAATCATCCATTGGCTGAGGATCGAGCCTGCAACTTGGGCATGTGCCATGACTGGGAATCGAACCGTGACCTCCTGGTTCATAGCTCAACTCTCAACCCCTGAGCCACACCAGCTGGGCAGGCAACACAATTTTAAAAGTTGGTGCATGAAACCAGGAAGAAACGTGTTCCTTGGGGATCATGGTTGTTACTCTTATAGACAAGGGGCAAGGAGTTGCTGTGGTTACTCATGATACTTTTACAAGATTCTTAAAAGAGTCAAATCCCTAACAGGAAAGGAAGAAGCCAAGAGCAGAATTCTTACTCCACCGCAAACCTCTCTTTACTACCTGATATTCAGAATGCTTGGGGGGGTTTATATTGGCAGCCACTTGTCAGGTAGCTCCTCAGATGTCTGCAAAATAACGTCAAGCCTCCTCATAGCCAGCATCTCAGTGTCCTCAGCCTTAAAAAGGAGAACTCAGCAACTTCTAAACTATGCTCTGACTCAGTAAGCGACGTTTTTTCCTCTGTGGCCCTTAGAGGGTGTACAGCGCCCTCTGTGGTTTTCCCAAGCATCTATCATCATCCTGTGGTTATTGTTTCCTGGTCAGTACAGTAATGTTTCCAATTATCATTGCCAAGCCCAGCCCTTCTACCCACCCCCCTACTACTTACCAACCCTGAGGAGAAACGATCTCCATGGATTTGGGGTTTATCATTCCCATGTACTCCTTACATATCATATTCTTGACCCACTTAAATAATAAGTTTATCATCAATAATGAAAAAAAAAGCTTGGCCACAATGCCAAGTCTAAGATATCTATGCTTTATAAAACACATAAAAACTGTAAGCCCTAAACTACCTTAGCATGCCGCAGAGAACTAACTTTATGTGTAAAGTTAACTAAAGGGAACAACAGTTCTGACTAAGTCAACTGATCACTGTACTGCCAGGTGGACAAATAAGAGTAAATAAAACACATCCAGAAATATAACGTAACGTGTAGGAAACTATTGCCACCTTCTAAAGGGCAAGGACAAAAATATCCTCTTGCTGGCTGATCTCATTTAAATAACCTCAAATTACTTAAACATACGGACTATTTGGTGCCTTAACTTTGCAAAAAAACAGCAAGATGAACCCCAGAGTCTTCTCACAGAGGAGACAGGTGTGACTGAGGACGGTGGCAGGGGGGAACTCAGTGCTCACTGGGGCTCATTCATGTGGTCTGTGTATTAAGCGAGGACACAATTAATTCCTCTTAAGCTGAGATTTATATTTTTTTCTCGTAAAGCTGATCTACCGCCCTGAAGGGAAACAGTTAAGTATTTGAAGGAGACCCAGCAGCTTCCCTTGGATGGGAATGGTCCTTACCTGGCCGTGCTCGGTCCTGGCCCCCGGGCTGAACCAGTGGCTGCGGAGGAGAGAGGAGAGAGGTTAGCATGAACCTGACCCAAAGCGCGTGGTCCCCCGCCACCAGGCTGCAGGCTGTGGGAAATGTATGCGCCGCCAGCCACGGCGCCTGGAATAGGCTTTATTCTAATGGATAGTTCATGTAATTCTAGACTTACAGCAATTTGGACAGAAATGTAAGAGTGCTCACAACCCAGTAATTTTCAATTTAATAAGCAAACTCAGTTAGAATTAAATTTCCATTTAATTATGTTAACATAAACTGCTGGGACTGTATTCATTTTATGAATCAATTCTGGTTGTAAAATCTACAAATGCTATCATTTACCACAACTTAATTATGGCATCATTACAACAAATGATGACCTCTGGATTGGTGGGAGTCTTAAAAAACATTAAAAAATAAAAAAGAATCTGACATCGCCCGGCTATGCTCCACAAAGCCCTTGATGTGGATTTGGGAGCATCAGCTGAACATACCTGAACCCATTCATTCCAGGCTCATGACACCACCGGCCAGGAAATGTTAGCTATGCGCTGGGTACCAGGCTCAAGGTCACACATGGGTTATCTCATCCCAGTCTCACCACCTTCCGTGGTCCCCAAGCTCGGTCCCCCCGTGGTACAGGGCCCGTGTGGGCATGTCCAGGGACAGAGCTTGACATTCAGGAAATCAAATTCATCCCGCCTCCCTTACAGTACAGGTAGGCTTAAACAGGACCAAGAATCTGGCACAGAATAGTGATTTAAATACTAATTTTCTTCTCCACTTACACAGTGAGCAGAGTAATAGGCGAACTTTCATTCAGGGAATTTTAATCCCTAAATGTCATCAGAGACGTCAAAACCTGTGGGTAATATTTATCAGTCACCCCACCACCACAACCACCACCTAAAGGTGGAACATTCTAGCAAATATGAAATAGATGCTGAAGACATTTGTTTCTTTAACTGACTTTTGGTGGAGGACAGTGTTTGGCGTTAGAACAATCACATTACGTATAAAGTGGGGATGTGGTATCGCTGTGATTGCCTCAGAGAAGCAGGAAACACATTGAGGAGAGTGGCCCTTATGAAAAGACTCGAAAAGTAAAATGCGCTAACCAAATAAAGCATCCTCGTCATCATTATCTTGAAATGTTTATACCTAGTTTAATATTGGCAGCCACGTTCCGCATTTACATAAGGATTTTGTGAAAATGGCTGCTATGAGAAAGGACTGTTATTACCCTTATTCCATAACTAAAAATTAAGACATATGCAAGATAAACCACTCACCCAAGGGAATCATAGCCCATCAGAGGAGGAACTGATCCAGTTTATCGATGTATCACAACATAAAGTTCAAGCCACTCTCGCTGTATAGCAGTAGATGCTACATTTCAAAGTGTAACAGTATTCCCAGTGAACATAACCCACGATCCAGGCAAATCTGGCTTTAAGCAAACTCCATATTTACACAAAAGGTAAAATAAAAGCTATTTGCTTTATAAAGGAGTTCATCATAGGATTATAAGTAGATATATCCATGTGCATTTAAAGTAAGTGTCATTGTACATACAGTCCCTCAGGTAAATATCCCATACCTTACAAAGAAATGCCTTAAAATGAAATACACAATGTCCTGTTTTACATTCACACTTTCACCTCTCCATTCACTCAGTAATGCTTCCTGTCTGCCCGGCACTGTGCCATGGGTAACAGGTGAGAGAGAGGTACAGCACCTGTCTGCCCTCAGAGTTTTCACAGTCGTTACCAAAGGCATCTGTGGCTTAAAAAAACTCTAAATCTACTGGCTAGAGTTTTGGGTTTATAGCAGAACTGAAAATTAAGGATAAAATGTACGAGTCTTTTGGTTGTCATTCTGAGATGATAAATGCTTTACTCTGCTTCCCCTCCCCTCTTCTGTTCAAGGGATAATAGAAAGGTCTTATCCTATATAATAAAAGCCTAATATGCTAATTGTACAGTCATCTGTTCAACCAATCAAAGCATAATATGCTAATGATATGCTAAGGCTGCTCAACCACTCGCTATGACATGCACTGATCACCAGGGGGGCAGACAGTTGACCAGTTGGCCAATTGCTATGACGTGCACTAACCACCAGGGGGCAGACACTCCGAGTGGTAGGTTAGCTTGCTGCTGGGGTCTGGCCGATTGGGGCTGAGCGAGATGGGTCCGACACGCCCTGGAACCCTCCTGTGGTCCCTCCCTGGCTGGCCAACTTCCTGCATCTCTCCTCGGCCCTGAACATACACCAGTGGGGTCCCTTGGCCTGGCCTATGCCCTCTTGCAATCCGGCTGAGGGGCCCCCCACACACACCTCCAGTGCATGAATTTCGTGCACCAAGCCTCTAGTACAGCGGTTCTCAACCTGTGGGTCGCAATCCCTTTGGGGGTTGAACAACCGTTTCACAGGGGTCGCCTAAGACCATCGGAAAACACATATATAATTACATGTTGTTTTTGTGATTAATCAAGATGCTTTAATTATGTTCAATTTGTAACAATGAAATTGGGGGTCACCACAACATGAGGAACTGTATGAAAGGGTCGTGGCATTAGGAAGGTTGAGAACCACTGTTCTAGTAGAATCATAAAAATGAAGGAAATAAGCTATTAAAATGAATAGCTCTATAAAATTATATAAATAACATTTTACATCACATAAATTATACTTATATTAATCTATATAAAATAAGCTATACCTGAACTATAAATTTTATATTTATTAAAGAATGGATTTGAAAAATAGAATCCAATGGGTCCTAATATGATTGGCTGCCAGAAAAAATTCAATAATTAATTCATGTCTTTCCATAGTTTATGGCCTTTCTCAAGTTCAACCAACTCCAAAGGAGTCATATGGGACTGAGCCAAAGTATATAATGTATTTAAGCTCTTCCAACAAAGATGTATTTAGAAAAAGAATTAGCACCTAGAAATTTACCCAATAATTCATCCCAGTCAAAGCTCAATTGCTTAGTTTTTTGAATTATGTAGTGAATGAGTCTCTTCCTTTTGTTGCTAAATGGAAATACCTTATGGTCCCTCACAGCTGATGCTGGACACGAGCAGAGCGCGGAGAAGTCAGGAGAAAAAGTCACTTAGTCCTCATGTTAGCAAGTCAGACAGAATGGAGGAGAAGAGCTTGATGCTACTTCATGTAACAGAATTTAAGAGTCTCATGCTCTACCGACTGAGCTAGCCGGGCGCGGTCATGTAACAGAATTTAAATGTTTCCAGATAACAAGTGAATTTCCAATTCCACCACAAATAAAAGAAGAACTGTACTAAAAAAAACAAAAACCCTTTATTTAAATTTCTCCATGGGATGCATTGAAATAGTTGTTGCACCCCTGTCATGGGTCTATGATATTGACTCTTAAGATAGAACTAAGTTAAACCGCCTTCACCAGCAGTGGCTACCAATTTCCACAAAGAGAGATGCAGAAAACCCACAAGGAGGTTACACTCAGCATACAGTCAGCGGGCACTCACTCGTGGTGGTGAGAATCCGGGGAGAAGTGACCCATCCTCTTGTTACTGACTGAGCCCGGAGCGGTCCCCTGCAAGGAGAATTCAAACAGGAAACAGTCAGAGGTGCATTTCTAGAAAGACAGGGACGTATAGAGACAGGTCCACCTGAGCACATCCGCTCTGGAGTGGACAATCTGATAATAAGTCTCAACATCTAAACAAAATCTCACAGAGCAAAGGGCATTCCCAAGACCAATGTCTTTGTCATTCATTCCTAAATACAAAACTTTCTAAAGCTTTCCCACAAAGGTAGGAACTATCTGTGTATTTACATACAACAAAGTGTAATTACGCCAGAAAAAACAATATTTTCTTTACAAATCTGATAAAGAGCGAAAGGTTCAAAAGCATTTTCATAATGAAACCTACACCCATGGAGAAATAAATTCACAACTCTCCTGACAGAAGGCTCTCAAAGAGAGCATCAGCAACACCATGCAAGAATGAACCCACCATGACAATCAACCGGACAGAAACTTACATCAAAAGGCCCTGCTCTACTCCGAGGTAATAGAAATGCGATACCCCTGTAACTACAGAAGTGCCATTTAGAGTATAGACTGAAAAAAAGGCATGCTGAGGCGGGAAAAAGCCCACACTAACATTTTCAAATATGTACTTCTTCTTGGATCACTTGGGTAACAAGGAAGCCAGCGTACCGTCAGCAATCCCAAGAAATGCAAATATTGCAAACGTGCTCGGTCAAGGACACTAACAACCCTGAGGTCTGAGCACCGCCGGTCAACATGTGGCTCCTCTCCAGGGCTCCATCCCGCATTCGTCTCCAAATGCGGTTTTCACGCTCCTCCAGCGGGTATCCCTGGGATGCCGTAATCCATTCTCCGCACTGTGGCTGCCAGAAAAGCCAGCCGGGCCCATGTCATGCTTTGTTAAGGGTTCATGATCACATTATCTCCTGGTGGACCTGACACTTTTATTCAGTTTACAGTGTGTTCTATGTACAGGCAACTTATTTCCTTTGCCAGGGCTGCTGACAACCTTTTCCACACTGTATTAATCTTGTTTACTGACTTTATCTTGGTACAAATATCAGAAAACTGAACTTTTTATCTCAGAGAAAGAATAAATAGCGTGTTGACAGAAGCAGAAGCTATTTTCGGGGCTAAAATTGCTTGTTTACCTGAAGCTATACGTATGGGAAAAAATGTTTAGAGTCCTGCACGGGCTTGAAATACATAATCTAAAATTTAATAAATGGAGAAATTTCACATGCACCCATGTGATAAACTGCCTGATGGAAACAATGCAACTGAACACAATAAAACAGAATCTATAACTAATTTACCCTCACGATACAAATGTAAGCTTTCAACCTGATCAGAAATAATCAGAGTATGTATTTCTCAGAAATCAGACTTATATATAAAGCATAAGCTCAATCCAATTGCTGCAAGTAACTCACAAAAGATTTATAGTTGCCAATGTGAATATTTAAATGACTTTGCATGATCTACCTAGTACATGGTGCTTTAAAAAAAAAAAAAAGAAGCAAATATCCTGTCCTATTATTTCAAGCCAATTTTTGTTTTACTTTTAAAGATGTGCAAACAGGGACAGTTTCAATTTTTTTTAAGTGAAATTAAGCAACAGTGAAATCCATGCATGATGTCTTCTCAGGGTCAATGTCACTGGCCGGCCTCAGGGGTACAGAGTTCTTACAATGGGAACCTTGTGCCACTTCAGTCACGAGACGCCCTTTCTGAAAATTTGACAAATGACTTTAATAGAGATTTCAGCTTGTGGGAAGTAGCACGATGCTGGAGTGCCAGTACATTTTAAACTTGAAAGCATGTACTTACGGTGATGGCTTATTAGTGGATATTTCACAGTATTAGAAAATGTCAAGAATCATACTTACAGAATTCTTTCTAAAAATTTACAATTGAGGGTAGGAGAATAATCTTTATAAAAATACAATGAAGCAATTTTAAACATCAGATCGAAGTGTTCACTTCTAGCAAATAATCAAGTATGGTCACTATTTTATTTCCCCCCAAATATGCCTCCCAGTCATTCCAGAAATGTCTCAGAAAGAAATCACAAATTATAAAAACCATATCTGTTTAAATAGCCAATACAATATTCACATGTAAACATTTCATTACCAATATTCACTATCATTATCAATATGACAATTTCATTATCAATATGGTAAAGTTTATCTGTTAGAAAACGTAGCTTTCATCCCAACATTAGGTAGGGAACAGGTAGTCTGTCCATGAGAAGGAGTCTCAGCACAATCCAGTTCTTGTTATTTGTTAAAACACTGGAGACAATCATTTATATAATTAGCTAATATTTACTGATGATAGTCTTAGACATCACACTGTGTGCCCTGAATTCTTATGATTCATTTGTTAAATATTACTACATCAGTAGTGACTACAATGCTAAATAAAGTAGGTATATTTCTTTTCATTACCTATGTTTATTACACAAATTATTAAATAAAAAAACAAACATAACTCAAAGCTAGAAAGGGATGGATGGTCTCTAGATAACATAACTTTTAGGTCAACTTCCAGCCTTTTTAGGTGGTGAAATAAACTGGAATGCTAAAAGACCATCTGGGTCTTAAGTTTTTGCTATTGTTATTTACAATCAAGTTATCAACCTTAGAAAGTAGGAATGTAGTAGTGATAGATGAAAATGTAATAACCAGTGTACCAGTACCATAAAAATTCATAAAGTTCATAAGTACCACTGTGGGAAATTTAGCTATATGATATAAATAATAACTTCTTTTTCAATTTTATTAGAGACATTAAAAGCAATTTCTTATTCTTTCTAGCACTAAATTATTAACACCAATTTCAGGATTTTCATCAAAAGATAAACAGAACAGTTGCCTTTATCTCACTTTCACTTTATAATTATTGAATCCACTGCATCCCATCCCATCCTTCTACAATTAGATAGTTGAATATCTGACTTCCCAAATCAGGCAACTGAACCCCAACGGACTTCTGGGATTAGTAAAGAGCTTCTTCAATATGGGAGTACTCCGCTCATATTCTTCTTCAATATGGGGATACTCCACTCATATTCTTTGTCAATATGGGGGATATTCCACTCATATTCTTCAATATGGGCGATTCTGTACTCATATCTTCTTCAATATGAGAATACTCCACTCATATTTTTCTTCAATATGGGGCTACTCCATTCATATTCTTCAATATGGGTGATTCTCTACTCATATTCTTTAATATGGGGGATATTCCACTCATATTCTTCTTTAATATGGGGGATATTCTATTCATATTCTTCTTCAATATGGGGATACTCCACTCATATTCTTGACAATTAAGAATCCCTCTGTAAACTAATGAAGTGCTATGTCTCCATACATTTGCCAGAAGCCATCATCCTTACTTCTCTTCAACTCTGTTCTCGTTTCCATTTGCATTTCATCCTGCTTCGGTGTCCACACTGACGAACACTGGGGCAGCGGCTGCCACTCAGCAGGGAGCTTTCAGTTTTGAGAGGCCTGGGCCTCCAGGCCGGAGGGAGACAGGCCTGAGCCCTGCCAGGTGGCCAAGCCCCACAGTCCCCGGCTCCTGGGGGGGACCATCATTCATTTGACTCCATTCCTTTGAAGAGACAAACCAGCCTTTAAAGTTTAGTGGGCTCCGCAATGAAGGCCCCCTGGTGCCTTCGACAAACGTGTCAGTCAAACGCAAGTGACAGATATGAAGGAAAACAACTCAAAGGAAACAGGCTTAAAAATAGGACTTTCAACCAGGGGGCTGGGAGAAGGGGAGGAGAGCGGAGGCAGAGAAACTGGAGTTGCTCGGCTGCCTGCACACAGATCGCCAGTAAAACCTGAGAAGGTAATCGGATAAATACTTTGCAGTAAATGATAATAACTGCTAAAATGAATGCGTGAAATAGTTAACCTTTTTAACCCCATACACAAATAGAAAGATTTCGCTAAAGTATTTCAAATGAGGGCCCCTGAGTTTTATAAGTTGGTGAAAAGTTTGTTATGTGGTAGCTGGGAGAATGAATAAAATATTTCCCATGTCATCTAGTCTCACATATAATATTGCAGAATGGTCACAATTCACAACAGGCACAATCTCTATGGGGATGTTCAAGAAAATAACAGTAGAATTCCCTTTAAAGCAGCATACAAAAACGTAAAAATTCCTGTAGAATTACTGTTAAGGCAAATGCAAAAAACCCAAGGACTCAGGTAGCATAAAGGGGTCCCACTTATGAGATTACAGGGAAACGAAGCAGGTATCTGATGTAGGGGAACAAGGAGACAGAACCTCTCCGAGCAGGGGGGCGCATACTCTCTCCCAGCTCAGTCCATCGGAACCAGCTCCCCAAACCCGACTCTGCTGTCCACGTGACAGTTTCCCATTCCAGAGCCGTCCAGGCTCGACCCTGGGAGTCAAATTAAAACCAGCGAGAAACGCATGGAAAGCACTGCCTAGTCCGATCCCTGCTTTCCAACGCACACCTTCTCTCTACTCTAGCTCCTTAGGCAGTAACTCTCCTTGTTCCAAAGCCAAAACGGCCCCACTTGGTACAACTCAGCAGGTGCTTACTAGTTACCTACTGTGTGAGTAAAATTACGTTCTAATTTATATATAACAAATAGTATGTGGTAATAGGAGTCATCTTAGTTACACTGTTACACTGAACTAATCTTTCTTTTTAAAAATACGTTTTTTCTTGATTTCAAAGAGAAGGAGGGAGAGGGAGAGAGAGAGAGAAACATCCATGATGATGAGGGGGAATCATTGATCGGCTGCCTCCTGCACGCCCCCTGATGGGGGTCGAGCCTAAAACCCGGGCATGTGCCCTGACCAGGAATCGAATGGTGACCTCCTGGTTCATAGGTTGATGCTCACCCACTGATCCACACCAGCCAGGCTTAAACTTTTTGATGTCATGATAAAGTTTTATGTTAAGGAACCCCTCTAATTCCAAGATAATTTTTTAAGAATAAAATATCAGTAAAGAATTCACGTAGAAATTCGTACTTTAACTTCCT